AAATGAAAACTACATCAGCTCATTAATTGCGGATTAGACTTTGCAGAAAAAAAGTTAGTGAATTAGAAGCATAGCAAGAGAAAATATCCAAAATGAAACACAGAGCAGGGAAAATTCAGTAGAGCAACAGTGACTTATTGGATAATTTTAAATGGCCTAATAAATGTGCGAATGGAGTCCATGAAGGAGAGGAGAGGGCAGGAAAGAAAAAAAAAAAATTGAACAAATAACGGCTGAAAAAATCCCAAATCTGATAAAAGCTATGAGTTCAAACATCCCGAGAAATTAAATGAACCCAAGTGGGTATGGACACGCACACACACCATAAAAATTACACCATGGTACATCATAATCAGGTTGTATAAAACTGGTAATAAAGAAAAAAATTTAAAAACAGCCAGAGTAAGGGGCGCCTGGGTGGCTCAGTTGGTTAAGCGACTGCCTTCGGCTCAGGTCATGATCCTGGAGTCCCTGGATCGAGTCCCGCATCGGGCTACCTGCTCAGCAGGGAGTCTGCTTCTCCCTCTCCCGCTCCCCCCTCTTGTGCTCTCTCTCTCTCAAATAAATAAATAAAATCTTAAAAAAAAAAAAAAAAAAACAGCCAGAGTAAAAATGATACCCTCTGTATAGGGGAACAAAGACAAGAACTGCAGATTTCTCACTGGAAACAATTCAAACTAGAAACAGTGAAGCAACCTCTTTAAAGTACTGAAAGAAAAAAAAAAACAAACTATCCATCTAGAATTCTATACCCAGCAAAACTATCTCTCAGGATTGGCAAAATAAAGACTTCTCATAGGCTGAAAGAATTCAGTACCAGTAGACCTACACTACAGGGAATACTGATGTTCATGTCCTTCAGGCAGAGGACAATGACACCATATGGAAACTTGGATCTGCAGGTAAGAGGAGGAGCACCAGAAATGGGAATTTATGTGGGTAAATATAAATACTTTGTTTCTTATTAATTGATTTCTTAAAACTTAGTTGACTATTTAAAGTGAAAACAGTAACAATGTATTATGGGGCTTATACCATACACAGAAGTGCGTGTCTGACAATTGTAGCACAGAGACTGGGAAGGGAGAAAAGGACACACATGCCATCCATTCTTACATCACACATAAAGTGGTCTGATATTCCTTGAGGGTAGACTGTGATAAGGCAAAGATGTATACTATAAACTGTAACATAACTAATAAAATAATAAAACAAAATTATAGCTAATAAGCCAACAAAAGAGAGAAATGGAATCATAAAAAAGAAAAACAAGGGGTACCTGGGTGGCTCTGTCGGTTAAGTGGTTGACTCTCGATTTTAGCTCAGGTCATGATCTCAGGATCATGAAATCAAGCCCCGCATCGGGCTCTGCACTCAGCAGGGAGTCTGCTTGAGGATTCTCTCTCTCCCTCTGCTCCTCCCCCAACTCACCTGTGCTCTCTCTCTAAAATAAATAAATCTTTAGGAAAAAAAAGAAAAAGAAAAAGAAAACTCAGTTAATCCAAAGGAGGAAGAAAAAGAGAAAACAGCAAGCACAGAATGGACAGGATAAGTAGAAAATAAATAATAAGATGTTAAATGTAAATGTCTAAATACTCTGACTAAAAGGCAGAGGATGTCAGATTGGACTAAATCAGTATCTACATATATGCTGCCTGCAAGACACACTAAATATAATGACACAAATAGGTAAAAGAATGGAAAAAATATACCATGCTAAAACTTGTCAAGAGAGAGCTGGGTAGTTATATTAATAAAAACAAAGTAATTTCCACAGTAGATAAAGAAGCTCATTTAAAAATAATAATGGGGTCAGTTAATCAATCCTGTACATGTATGTAGTTAACATCAGAGTATTTAGACTACATGGAGCAAAAATTGGTAGAACTGAAAGGAAAAAAGAGACAAATAGACAATCCTTCCTCCTTCCCTTCCTGTCTTCTTACCTTTCTCCCTTTGTTAAAAAGCCATTAGGGTAGATCCCCATGAAGTTGGCCGTCAGCCTGTGTGTGGAAGGCAGGTGCAAGGGGGTTGGAGGTTGGCCACACACAGGGAGACTGAGGCCATGGGAGCCTCGTTTGTCACCATTAGAGAGGGAAGGTATAAACATGGAAAGGGGGAGCCATGGAATGAACCATCAGGCATTGGGTTGGAATTGAAGCTATTGGTGTGAACTCACAGATTTGCACATACCCAGATAGATCTAGAAGATTCAGAGATAAATCCAGATGTCACTGTGTGTGTGTGCATGTGTGTGTGTGTGTGTGTATTTTCCCTGTAAGCCCTCCACTGAAGGACCCGGCACATCCATACCTTGCATCAGTGAGCACACCTAATGCCTAGATCCTGGTCTCCAAACAATATTCTCCACTAAAAGGAACCAGCATCCTTAGAGAAATGCCTGATTTTGAGGCTCTGGTAGGAAAAGGACAGGGTGAGTCTGGAACACCTTGTTGAGTGAGAAAGCAGGAAAATACTCCAAGAGCGAGGGGGACATGTCACAGGTCAGAGAAGCCAGTCTGAAGCTCCCACTGGCTAAATCTGGGGTATCTGAGCATCGAAACTTAAAGGACAATGGTGATTGATTGCAACCCCTTGAATAGACTAGGAATCCCTGAGTCCACAACACAGAAACAATGAACAGATTAATGGGAATAACAGATTTTTTGTCTTGCAGTAGAGAGCACACGGATAAATGAAGAAGGCATGAGAGTATGAGAAAATCTCCATTTGGCAACAACTATAAAAATAAGGAATTCAGGCAAAACCTGTCAACAGATCCTAAAAACAGTGGGTAAAAATGGAGATGAAAAATGGGGTTCTACATAGCCTGAAAATATGTCCCCACAGAATATTTATTAACTGCAGAGGGGGAGAAGGCACAGCAGAGAAACCTGCAGAGCTGATACAAAGAGCGCCCCCAGTGACAGCACACAGGCAGTGCATGCCACGCACAGGTCCAGATGGAAAGAACTATCGCAGCCTGGTGATGTTCTGGGGCAAAAATGCATAACCGGGGTCTAATCCGGAGGAAACACCAAACTCCAATTCAGGGGTGCTCTGCAAGATGACTGGTCCATAATCTTCAAAAACGATCAAGGCTATGAACGTCCAAGAAACACCAAGAAATATTCCAAACTGAGGGAGGCGAGAGGACTGGGCTGTCTGAGCACGGGGGATGGTGAGACACAGTGTGAGGGGAAAACAAGGCTGCTGCTGGTTTACAAATACCTGCATAGACACATGCAGTCAGTAGGCAGGGTACTTACTACTACCTACCAGTAGTAGCTAGTCGTTAGCTGTCACTGTTCTTAGGTTGACAGATGAGTTTATCCGGACAACCCGCCACACCAGGGTGACCTAATGGGCACTGTGGCAGGGCCAGTGACACACATAGCCTGCCACACACCCCAAAAACAATGACAGCCACACAAGAGTGCATGGTATTTACAAAGGGCGAGGGACTCTTCAATCTGATACCTGCCCTTTGAACATTTCTGTTCTTCCTCCAGCTTACTGGGAACTGTATAAAAATTAAAATACGCTCTGGGTCTCTGAGCAGCTGAATCAGAATCTGGGGGATATATGCAGAGACTCAGCAAGTTTCTTCTAATATTAGCTGAGGATGAATGGGCTGGTTGTCTGCAGCATCTGACAAGATTTCTTTGCTGTATTTGTCAGCTACTTAAAATGCCCCTTCCCTTTGCCCAGCCCTGGAAACGCAAAGATGAGGACAGCCCTGCCCTAGAATACATATGGGTAGACCAGAAGGTGGCGAGGGGGTGACAGGGCTCTTCAGGGTTTTGTGGGAACACTTAGGCAGCTGCTTTCAGCTGGGGTGAGGAGCCAGTGGAAAGGGGTCAGAGGAGTGTCCTGGAAGGGATCCAGCCCCAGTCAATGGGAGCAAAGACATTCCGCTGGGCAAAATGCAGGTGTGGTAATGACACAGTGACCATGGGACCCTACTCTGGAGGATGGGGCCGATGGTCCACCACAGGACACCCAAATTCATGCGAAACCAGGCTTTAAAGTGTTCCTGTGACAGCTCGGGGAGGCTCGCTCTCCAGACACATGCCTTGTGGGAGGAATTCCTGCCACTCAACCGTCAGACCTCGTAGAGCTCAGTGCTCAGCGGAGCCGAGACAGAGCCTCTGGCCGGGGAAAGCGTCACACGCTGGCGACGTGGTTTGGCCACCACAGGCATTTACTGTCCTGAGTGTGTGCCTAAGAGTGGGGAGGACGCCACAGGACTGCAACAGTCCCAGACCGAAAAGGCTGTAATGACTACAAAGAAAAGAGCGCAGGAAACATTTTAAACAAAACAGTATTTGGTGGCCAACTGGGTAACAGAGCTAACGCGGATTAAAACAAGATGATATACTGTTTGTTCACGTGCCACGTGATCACAAAACCGTTGGCCAGAGGCCCCCAAGACGGGTCTAGGGGATCCGGCGAGGAAGAGAGCCCGAGACCAGCTCCTTCCCTGCCTGCGGTCAGTCTGGTGGTAGCCATCGGAGATGCCCGCGGCTCGGCTCTCCCTCACGGGGGAAGCTAGCAACATAAAAGGCCATCTATCCCGGCATCATGGAAGGGCCTGGTTAGGATGACCTGGAAGCCGTGGAAATCATGCAATAAAACTAGATTACCCATTGCTATGCTGAAAATGTCAATGTGGGGTAACTAAACCTGTTGTGTGTATGCATTTACCCCCATGATCGTTTCAAAACTCATGTGAACAGTAAAGAAAGGGTGGGTAGGCAAAGATGGCGGCTTATATAAGGTTCTAACGATCGCGTTATTTGTGGTGCCCCGGTAACCAACACTTGACTGCAAACCTAGTTCTCCAAGCAAGCTGGACCAGCTGGGCAACCACCACCTCACCCAGCTCTCAGGCGGCTACTCCCGAGACCCACCCAGAGCGGCTCCATCTCTACTTTCAGAAACGTATACGCTACTAACCGTTGTTACGAATGTCCAAAACATAACAATGAGACCACGACTCAAAACAAAATACAGTACAAATTTATTGACTCCAATCATTCTTAGTCAAGATTTAAGCAAAGGAAACAGACAACAGAATTGGATACAAATAAACAACAGATTAACATTAGATAGAAATCCTATTTTACCATGAGTTTTCAGTTCCCAAAAGCTCATTCCTAAATAAAATTGAACAATGATTTAGTCTGCTAAAGCATCTGACAACAAAATATACACAATTTGTTTATAACCACATTTGTTTAATAGTAAGATTTATTCAATGAAAACTTAAAGTATTGCATTAATGTCAATAAGAAATTATCCCCATCTGAAAATTAACATTAACCAAGTATAACTTTGTGGAAAATTTGAGAACAGCACTAATAAATGACTAGAGAGCACTCAATTCAATTATTTTCAAGATTTACAGTAAAATACTTTGGTTCCCAAACAATGGTCTCTGAAAGGAATTCCTTAAAAACCTGACACTAACCCACGTCTCCTCCTCCGGAACGTAAACACCACCGCTCAGTCTCCCCCACCCCACCCCACCCCCGCCCCGCGTGGAAGCAAACACCGGGAGAAGCGCTGAACAAGCACGTTAACAATGATGGAAACATAAAACTTCTTAAAGTGCTAAAGCCACAAAAGAAAACCCTATTTTTCAAACTTAAAAAAAAAAAAAAGCCAGTGTTAAAGAACTTATTAAATGTATTAGCATTATTTAAATAACACTTTCCATAATTATTACAAAAAACATCAATGAGAAATCAGAAATTGACAAAACGGACTTGTAATATTCCAATATGAATTAGTGCAATTTATAAAGAAACCTGCTATGCATTACATCTAATTGTTTCTGTGGTAAGAAAATTCAAATGCCTTTAATTCCTAAGGTTCTGGATTCTGGTTGTAAACACACACACACACACACACACACAGTGGGTTCTTGGGTCTTTTTCCCCTGGACAGGCCACTGGCCTGCAGAGGAAGACACCCCCTGCCTCCAAGGAAGGGCACGTTTTATTCTTGTACAACTTCTCCCCTCATCGGCACCAACGGGTGCTGTGTGTGGATAAGACTACCACTGATTGATAAGAGCTGGAGCATATTTTTAAAAAGGCTATTAAGGATCCGCTCCAAAACAGAAAACCAAGAACCACATACATGCCCCCACAAATGCAAAAGTGATATCCTGGTTGAACTCCTAGTTGTAGATTTTGATAAAACAATAAATGCACACTAGCTGTAACTAGCTTTAAAGGTGAATATTATTAAATTGAAAAATTACTATAAAAAATGCACACTATTTGTAACCTCCATTGCTGACTTTGAGAAAAAGATGTTTTAGGGTGTTCCTCTTTCCCTCTCCCACGTGAAGAAAATGATTCAATAGCAAGTTTCTCAGATTAATAAAGAATATATTAAAACATTTTACATTCTTTCCACAACTGCATAAAAAAAGGCAGCCTGAATACTTACAAGGAATAACGAGCTTCCTACATTTTCAAAAATTAATTCTAATCAGAAAAAACATTTTCGAGAATACCTTTACAAGCTGGCGTCCTAACAATGAAAGACCAACCTGTCCCACAGACCGAGTGTCTGCCCACCGTCTGAGATCAACATTCTTAAAAGGAGCGATTCGTGTGTCTTTCATTATTTTACTTCCTGACATTTAAAATAGTTACATGAGTGGAAGCATGTTTTATTTTTTGACCACCAAAATAAACTCTTTCAGCCTGACGCTTTGAAGGTAGAGTATAAAAAGTAATAGAAAAACCAGAACTGCATTATAAATGTTTTTGGTTCGAAATTTTATTTGAAATCTTAACGTTCCTTGCCTAGACAAAAACGTGAAACGAACGAGACAAAACACTATCTAACAGATACGCTGAGCCTATATTTAGATCAAAAATATTTTTTACTGATGAACATTATTAAAAAATCTTCAAAAACGTAGCATAAAGTTTCAAGTCCTGGGATACTGAATTTACAATGCCAAGATCACGTGTGCCGTGGAAATTCTCACACACACACTCTAACAGCCAGAAGCAAGGACTACTCTGAGGGAGGCTGTCTTTCCGAAGAAGTGACAGCTACTAAGGTGTTCAGAGTAAGAAAGGAGCACATTATACAGGGAATTAATTCAGTGAACAGTAATCCACCCTGATGTCTCACGGAACACCATACGCTTTAGTTTCATCTTGAAAATGCATAGATTTCTTCAAGAAAATATAAAGATGGCAATAATCGGTTACTGCAACTTCATTTTATTTTCCTTTCTCCATCAAGTTTAAGTAAGAACAAAATTAGGAAGGGACCACTCAAATATTCTGTGACTTGTGGTAGTTTTCAAATGAAAAAATAAAAAGGCAAGATTTTACATGAAATTTCTCTAATCTACAAAGCCAATTGGTATTTTATGAAAAGGCCTGTGTTTCGATAAAAAGTTAAGACTGTCTTTCCTACCGCTGGTACGGAATGTGGGTGACGAGACCAACAAGTACCAAGCTCTTTCCTGCTACGTGGTACACACTGAAGTACTCAGCAAATTATTTCTTCGTCACAGTAATTTTTTTTTATTTGAGAGAACAGCTTGTAAGAAAAAAATTAATAAACTTGGGAGTCTTCATCCATAGCACTATCTTAAAAGGATTTTGTAGTTTCAAAAATATTTCCACTTGTCTATACGTAACCCCTCAATTGTACCAGTGAAATCAGTTTTCCCTTTAGAAACACCTAAAAAAGCCTTTTAATTATAACTAAAACAAAACAGAAAACAAAACAAAACAGCAGCCCAAACCCTATGGGCCAAAATAGGTAGCAAAAACTAATTTTGGACCCTTGATAGTGCTTTAATACAGATTTATGAAACGTTAAAGCAGTGACGTTAAAGCAGAATGATTGCACTAAGGACATCTTACCACAATAAACTCCAACAAATTCTAACAGAAACAGAGGCAGGAGATGGTACGCTGTGAACACTATTCTTGAGAGTGTGTGGGGACCGTGGCGTGGTGTTCTCCCCCGTGTCCCATCTTGGGAAGTCAATGCTAACTCGGGACTTACAGCGGCTGTCCTGACCGCGGGCATGGGACCGAGGTACCTAAGTGTATGTCCCAACCTTAACTGTCCCACTAATGCTGTTAAATTCAAAATGAGCGAGTGCCTTATGCTGCCTTTGCTTTCGGTCCCAAATGCACTCAGATTTCCCACTGGTGACAGCATGAATTGGAGAAGACCAAACACGTCCAGTCCTCCCAATGCTGGTCGGAGCTGAGACCTGAGGCCCGCGCACACAGCACAGCAGTTCCGATTACAATGCCTATCGCCACAGAAGCTTTTGTAAACGGGCTTGGAGGCCTTCCAGACACCCTCACATTTCCATTTCCCAAATCTTCCATCATTAGTTATGTTAAATGACCCAAGAGCAAGCTTTTGTTATTTTATAAAAATCTAAGTATCACTATTGCTGGGGATTTAAATTTCTATTTTCATACAAAAAAATTTCTACATGACCACAAATACCAAATTATTTATTGTTATCAAGTGTCAGGATAACTTATTAAAGTTGAGGCTTATCATTGTTTTATTGCTAAAGTATCCTAAGATCTAACTCAACGCTGCAAACTACTCCACTTCCTCCTGATGCGTTGTGGACTTCGGAACGTGGCTGACATTGAACTAGAACTTAGGTGTCTGATATAATCAAAAGAAACACTTGAATAGTATTTCACTGATTGCAAATCAGTAAAAAACCAAAACCACCTCTGGGAAAAGATTATACTGACACCGTGGAATGAGGAACCATGCAAATAACCAAGATCAGTCACATTTCAACATTAATGAAGTCAAATCATCCTGTGACTTGTAAAGTCCAAAGCACAATAGATTTTAGTTTTTCTAAGGTGAGTAAGGACATCACTAATTAGTATCAATTTACCTCAAACTTCTATTCAAGCATAACAATTTCCAACCTTTATTATTCTCTTTTAAAAAATATTTTGTTTCTTATGCACGTTTCACAATTTAGGTGGAGGAACTCTGGAGACCGCCGTCCCTTCTGTGGCAGGTGAAAAGGGGCGGTCTTTCAGTTGTGGCTCTGTTCGTGACTCCAAAGACTGAAGGCCGTCTTGAATGTCCTATGGCACAGTTTACACATGAACTGTCTTTTGAAGGTGATTGCAGAAAGGGGGGGGGCATGGTAAAAAAGCGTGTCGGATTCCTGGGGCACGAACAGTTTCTCCGTGGCAGGAGCGGGGTTTTCGGACAAGGCTGTGGGGCTGTCGGGCTCCAGAGGCTGGATCTTGGGCAGCGGCGGGGGCGGGGGCGGCGGGGGCGGGGACGGAGAGTTTGTGGGCACAGGGCACACCTCCGAGTCTTTGTGCGCCGGGTCCTCCGTAGCCTGAGACATGTGGGACTGGAAGTGGCTCCAGAGCCGGAAGTTGGTGCGGAAAGCTTTGTTGCACACGTGGCAGATGAAGGGTTTCACGGAGCACAGGAGCTCCTGGTGCCGCTCCAGCTGCTTGTGCGCCGTGAACGTCTTGCCACACTTCTCGCAGGGCCATAGGCTGGTGTCCTTGCTGGAGCCGGCGTCCTGGGGGGCGGCGCGGGCCTCGGGTGCCTCTTCCTCGGCCTCCTCCGCGGGCTCCTCTTTGACGTGGATTTTCAGTTGCTTCGAGAGGCTGAGGTCTTCGGGGAGGCAGGAAGAGTCTTCTGAATCGAAGTTCACTTGCTCCGAACAATCACTGAAGGCATTGTCGTCTTTGGCGGGGACCGCGTGGTTGGCTTTATGGGGCTCGGGCTGGGCCGGGGCCCTGGCAGCAGCAGTCACGTCACCATTGTGGTCCAGGATGGGTAAGGAAAAGTTTTCGGCCGGCGCCATGGTGTTCTGATTATGGACTTCAACTTGGTGCCGCCAAATGCTGAAGGAGGACTTGAAGGTGCGCATGCACTCGAGACACGTCAGCTTCTTGTACTCACACTTACTCTCGTGCTCCTGCTTTAGCTCCGGCGAGAAAAACCTAAGGCTGCAGTAGGGGCAAACGGTTGCGTTTCTGCATAATCGCTCGTGGTTTCCTTGCTCTAGAAGAGAAGAGAGCTTAGCATTACAGAGGCGGCACTGGTAAACCTCCTTGTTCTCTACTGGACTCTCGAGAGAAACATGCTCTTTGGGCTTAGCGGTCCTACTGACGCCAATGGGCTTCTCTCCCGGGTGCATTTTTATGTGCTGCTTGAACTGCGAGAGAAAGCGGTAGGCTTTTCCACAGTAAGTACAAATGTACGCTCCTTTGGCTCGCGACCGCAAGTTCCTCTTGATGGCCTGGGCCTGGGAGCTACTCTGCCCCTGGAACCCAGGCTTGCTGCGCCTCAGCTTAATGATCAGGGCCTTCTTAATCTCTCTCTCTCGCACTATGTCAATCAGCTTTCTTTGGAATTTCTCATCCAAAACGGCATGTGAACTAGAGGCTGGTGACGGGTTCTTCACTATGCCGTGCTGGGTCTGACAGTGCGTCCACACTTTGAAGTTTGTGTGAAACCGCTTGTGACAGATGTCGCAAGCGTAGGGCTTCTCTGGGTTATGGTACATGTTAATGTGCCGGTGAAGACCTGCGGTCGATCTAAAGATCTTAAGGCAATGTTTGCATTTAAATTTTTTGTTTGGTCTTGTTCCCTCCAACTCACCGAATTCATCTTTATTCAAGTCAGAATCTGGAAACTCTGTGTCAGGGAGGGGAGGGCTCGAGCCCTCCTCGAAGTTCTCTTCGGACACCAGAGACCCGTGCTCGTCCTCCTTCACCTTCTTCAACGGCAGCCTTCGGTCCGCCTGGAACCTCCTTTTCGCTGGAAGCCTGCTCATGTCTTTTTGGTCGTCTTCGGTTGTCAAGGAAAGGTCTCTGGCGGCGGCCACCGCAGCCGGGTCTCCCACGGTGACGCGGATGATGTCAGAGGGGTCTGACAGGGGGCTGCGGGGCTCTGTCTTGATGCGGACCTCAGTCACGGCAGGCTCCCCTTCCCTCTCCATGGACTGGGAGGCGCTGAAGGACCGGAGGCGGTGGGGCTGGGGCGCGGGGCTCTGCTCATCGAGGGCCGCCTTCTCCCCGCACTCCTTCAGAGACGACTGCTGCGGCAGAGCACAGAACCCGCTCCCCGGCACCTCGCCTGCCACCGCGGAGCGGCCCTGGGAAGATTTCAGATCTATGGAGGGTGAGAGGCCGGGCACCTGGCTGTCCATGGACAGCGACCGTCTGAGGAGACTCTTGACGAGCGGGCCGCTTCTGTCGATGCCTGGCTTCCCGCAGCCAGAGCCGCCGGACGGGACCACCAGCCCCAGCTTGGAGTAGTACAGCAGGTTTCGGTCTTCGCCCGGCCCGCCTCCTTTGTGAGTCTCCTTCAGCACGTAGGGGGTCTCTGACGAGCTTCCGAGAGACAACACCGGGGGCCGTGGTCTCTTCAAAGCCAACTCTATGGCTTTGCCTTTGGGGAGCTGGCTGCTGAGACCGGCTGTATCGTCCATCGCCTCTCGGTCCTGCAGCAGTGCATTCCTTTTCAGCAAACTGCTTCTGTTGGGGTCATCCAGAGGCCCCGCGTGCTCCAGAGACTTTGCATAGCCCACAGAACCATCTTTCGGCCAGCTCTTTTCAGCCGGTGGCAAAGTGTGGAGCGGCTCGGCCGGTTTGGGAACGTGGGGCTTACTGGCGCTGGTCTTGACTGCAGTGCTAGGGGAGGGCCGGGACGTATGGCTTAGGTCGGGCTGATTCTGACTCACAGTTTTTCCCTGCGCTTCGTTTCTACTTTGACAAACGATGACGCTTCTCTTCTGAGAACTGCTTTCATCATCTTCTATGAATATTTTTTTCCTGTTGGGACACGCTGGAAAGGGGGCCTGAGGTGTTTTAGAGACGATGTTAGTCAGAAAGGAAATCCCAAGGCTATAGCCTAGTTCTTGCACGGCCGCGAGACTGCTTTTCTCGACAAATAAAGATGAAGAATAAATGTAGTTCAAAACGTTATCAAAAGCATCTGGTTCACAAAAGTCAAGCTGAAAGACAGTCTGTGATTCATTCTCCTTGTTGGTGAATAAACTCTGGAAGTATTCACTGCTGGCGGCCAAGACATTTTTATGCGCTCGAAATTTCTGGTCTCCCACAATCAGAAGCACGTCACACAGCTGTCCTTTGAGGCGTTCCTCGTTGAGCGCGCTCAGCAGAGAGATGGCATGTGCCGGGTTGATGTAATGCAGCAGCCCCTCCATCGCGGGCGCTTACCTGAAAGACAAAGTATACGACTATTGTGAAAAGCGTGGTGAAAAGCTCTCCCTGGGATGAAACACTCAAGGGCAGGGAGCCCTGGCTGTCTTTTCATAGGTGCCAGAGCTGAACGGACTGTGGGCAGACAAAAGCTGTGTGGATGAACGATTTTACGTCGACAACAGGGGAAGAGCAGCCCGTGGGTCTCGGGGCTCGTGGAGCGCGTCGGTCGCTGCCGCTGCGGGGTTTTAGGACTGAAGACTGTGGCACAGATGTTCTCATACCAGCAGAGGGCTGCCGGACCTCGGCCGCTGTGCGGAACAGCCCTGCTTGAAATGAAAGGTTGGCTACTTAGGGTTCCTATCCATTCGACCCTCGGTCCTATCCCTCTTAGTTCAGAGAGTAAGCATGAAGAATCGAAGCTCCTGAGTCTGCGATTCTGAAAGAAGTCAGTCTTATCATTGGACGTACTTATCCACCTTGTGAACTGTGACCACTGGGTTGCAAAGGGGGAGGGGGGCCTCACCAGACCTTTAAAAATAGGGAAGAATCTGGAAAGGGAAAGAAAAATTTCACTCACTGATCACTGCTGTATCACGGTGTTCAGCAAAGGTTAGAATGTTAAACAACAGAAGAGCTTGGTTTCTTTCTTATGCTAACCACCTTGCAATCTGCTGAATACTTTTTTCTCACCAAATCACATATTCAACGATAGCACAGAGGAAACTATGGTCTGATCTAAACGTAATTACTACTAATTTTAAATTAAGGGGTTTGAAATGAGATCTCACTGCAGTTCTCTTCCAATCTAAAGGCGAGATGCGAAGGCCTGGTGGCTGGGTGCGGCCTCTGGCAGAGGTACGGGGGTGAGAGGCTGCCCCCTTCCTGGCTGAGTACCAGGTCCCTCATGTGAAATGGGTGGGATGACTGCACCCTCCTTTAGGGTTGTTGCAAAGGCTGGATGAGCCAGCATCTCACACAAGGCAAACATTTAATTCAGTATCAAAGAAAAAGGTCCATATTAATGCCACCCATGCTCTCAACGAAGGGAAAGCCATCTCATACAGACACAAGGCCAGACTCTCCAAAGCTGACCCTTCACTTGGGCTTCCGTTGCTGTAACACCTCATCTCTGGTTTGACTGGAGTGTCTTCTTTGAAATAGTTACAACGTTTAGGGGCATCTGGGTGGCTCAATTAAGTGTCCAATTCTTGATTTTGGCTCAGGTCATAATCTCAGGGGCGTGGGATCGAGCCCCGTGTCAGGCTCCGCACTGGGTATGGAGCCTGCTTGAGATTCTCTCTCACCCTCTGCCTCTCCCCGCTCTAAAAATATAATAAAACAGTTATGACATTTATTTTTGAATGGATGTCTCATGGCATTTATTTATTTATTTATTTTTTAAAGATTTTATTTATTTGAGAGAGAGAGAGAGAAACAGCATGAGAGGGGATAGGGTCAGAGGGAGAAGCAGGCTCCCCGCCGAGCCAGGAGCCCGATGTGGGACTCGATCCCGGGACTCCGGGATCATGACCTGAGCCGAAGGCAGATGCTTAACCGACTGAGCCACCCAGGCGCCCGGCATTTATTTTTGAATGGATTCAAAGTAACTAAGACTGACAGTTTTCTCTTCCTCCAGAGGGCAGGTTGTAAATGTACTAAACTCGGCGCCCAGGACATTGGCAAGTTCTCCTCCGGTTTCAAAGGACAGCCTTTGCTGGTCAACCAGCATGCGGACTCTTCAGAAGAGCCCACGAAGAAGAGTTTGCTAGGCCACCAACCTGGAATGACCAAGCACGATACACAAACTTCTCTCCTATTATTCTGATTCCTCTCTATGGTGTTGACTAAATTTAATGGGCTCTGAGACATGACTGCTTCCAGGGATGTTATCCCCAAACAGATGCCTTGGTCAGAGTGTACGGAGTTTCTGCTCATTCTTGCCTACCATCATTTCATATCAGTGGCAAATTTTAATTCCTATTTGCGATTGCTTGATAGAGACCTTTGCCCTTCCTTTTCTGTTAGCCATTTAAATTTCTCCCTTAATCCTACTATCATGTCTCAACAATCCTGCATTTATTTACATACCCCCTCATCATCTTTCACAAAGGTCAGCAGAGAAAGAAATAACTTGTAATGCCACATTTACAACTCAGCTGTGTACTAAATGCTGTTTTTAGTGCTAATAATTTTTGAGAAACCTAGTTCAGATGTTGCCACAGGAAAAAGCAACAGATGCAGAATTAAAAACAGGGACAAGTACTTTTCAGAAAGGGTTTCTTACAATCAATTTAGTGATTAGAAACTAGCAATTAAAGTCATAAACTGACTAGGACAGAGTAGAAAATGTCAGAATGCTTCAAACACAGGAGGCCGACGTCTTGTGAAATGTGTCAGTTACATGTGCACACGTCCACACGCGTGAGCACGCACAACATACTCCGTGCTGGGAGCCAGGGTCAAGACAGCACACGTCCACACGCGTGAGCACGCACAACATACTCCTACTCCCTCCCTGTTAGCCGGGGTCAAGACGGTTGGAAAGTCAGCATGGGCGGCTAGTCAACGTCGAAGGCTCGGTTTCCCCCACTGCAAAGCAGGGAGAAGAGCAGCTACCCACAACGCTACGGTGAGACGTAAATGAGAACACGGTACTGGCCACCTCCAACACACCACAAACTTGTGAAGGTACCAGACCTTCACAAGTCACTCACTCGTTCGCTCATTCAACAAAACGCCCTCGAGAAGGTTTGAAGAAGGCAAGGAGCCGTGAGAATCACGAGGGACAGCACTGCAGGCAGAGGGAAGAGCCCACGTCACAGCAGGGCTGGAGCAGGGGGCTGCGGAAGACAGAACAGGGCTGAGTGAACCGCAGGAAGACTGAGCTTTCCACCGCAAGTGAAAGGGCAGTCGCTGGAAGATTCTGACAGAAAAATGACAAGGACGTGAATTATGTTTCAAAAGGATCATTCGGGCTCCGATGTTGAGAATGGATCAAAGCGGGCAGGGAAAGGTGGAAGCTGGGAGACCAGCTAGGAGCCAAGAGCAACAAGGCAGCTGAGACAGGACTGTGGCCCAGACCAGCCGGGAGTCAGTCTACTGCAATGATCCGTGTGAGACTCGATGGTGCCTGCACCAAGGTGGGAGTGGAGGTAAAGCAGTCATTAGGATTTCTAAGGGACTGACCATGGTCGATAAGAAGGTGAGGAGTTAAAAGAGAGTTCCAAGAACTGTACCAGAAGTGCCGGATGTCTTACTTGAGATGAAGTCTGATGGAAAAATTGGTTCAGGTATTTTCCAGGAATTCAGTTTGATGTTCTAAATGTGAGCAGCACCTATTCATTAACGGACCCTTTGTGGGCACCCCTACAACCTTTCCTGTGCTTCCCGGGATCACTTCCCAAATAAACACCTGCTCTGAATCCGTGGCTCAGGGTCTGCTCTTGGGGGAATCAAAAGAAGACACCAGGGCACCTGAAAGCACAGGTGTGGGCTAAGGGAGTGTGTGAGGACTAAACCAAGTGAGAATTTCCACGTCCCTGGACACGAAGTAAAGGCAACTGCACACGCCGTCTGCACCCTGCTGCTACATACCAAAAAACACAGTTCAGAAAAATTTCCTTCTTTTGCTTTCTTCAAATTACCATGATCCCTGCTTTTGTTCTAAATCACTACTTCTAATCCCTTGAACCACAGGCTCCCATACTCTTTAATGAAGACATTTGGGAATTAGGGAAAAGCAAGTCACTCCGATGTGGGTTGTATGACAAATAGTCGCTGTCCCTGAAAACTGCTTAAAGCGATCCATTTGGCTCTCGCCTCCATTTAGAATCATCAGCGAGACTGCCTGCTTGGAAAGGGGCCAAGCCCGTCAGATTCCGGGTACACGGGTGCGGGCGACGCCACCCTGCCGCCCGTTCGGCTCACCCTGGCACCAACTGCACACCCACCAACAGCTACCGTGTGAGTGCTTCCTCTACCACATCTACCGCTAACATTTTTACACCTTCACTGAGTGTTTACAGCAAGCCTAGCAGGCAGGTACCATGACTGTTCTAGAGGTGAGACGCCCAGGCACAGAGGGTGAAGTTCACTTGCTCGAGGTCCCACCAAGCACAAGTGGCAGAGCAGGATTCACAGCAGGGGCTGTGGCTGCAGAGGCCAAGCTCTTTAACCCCCACACCGTGCTGTCTCCAGTTCCCTCCCTTAATCCGAACAGAAATCTCTGGGCTGGGCGCTGTCCACGTGCCTGTTTTACAAATGAGGAGACGGAGGCGCTGGGAGAGCCCGCACTGTGCCCAAGGTCACACCGCGGCCAGCAGTGGGGCGAGCTGGGATTCCGGGGGGGGGGCCCAGCGCCTGGACTCAGCCATCACCTTCCGCAAGTCTCACGGCCCGGTGCCCGGCGGGACACGGAGGATGGAAGCCCAGCAAGCACGGGCCTGTCCTGTAGCTCTCAGAGACCCGTGCGGTGGGAGCGGGACAGGTCAGTGTGTTAGCACGTGCCAACGTGCAGAGCCCCGGACAGGGCGCTGCAGGGGCTCGGGCGCGGTGCAGGTGGAGGCTTCGGGGGCGGCTGAGAGGCACGTCAGGGGAGGCACTCGACAGAAGATGCTTCCTGAACGAGCAGGAGTCAGGAAGGCAGGGTGAAAGGCATTCCGAGGGCAGGAGCCGTGTCGGACAGCACAGAGCCGAGGCGGAGAGGCTGCCGGAGCAGGGGTGGCGTGCAGGGGAGGGCAGGCGACGGGGCTGCGGAGGGAACGGGCGCAGGAGGGCCCCAAGGACCAAGCTAAGGCCGCTCCAAGACCTTCAAGGGAGAAGGGCCTCCTCTCTCCTCTCGGGCAGCCGGGGACAAAGTCTGGAGCCGTCTGGAGGAGAGCGAGCACAGGGCACGCAGACTCCTCACCCTCCGCCTGATGCCCTTGCTTTTACCTTTTTCATTATGAAAACTCAAAAACCATGGGCCCTTCCCTGGTCTAGCTGCAAACAACTAACATTTTGGAGTTCTGTGTTTT